CAGGTTATCTTGAAGTATGGGACAATGTTCAATGAATGTCTTCGAACATCTGGCTCAGTCATTTTCACAAATGCCCTTCCTGACACTAGGGAGATCAAAATCCATGTTCACTTAGCTCTCCTACCTCTCCTGATCAACCAGGGATAGAAAACTGGCTGTGAAACTCTTTTCTCGGAGAAAAAATGGGAAACAGTAAGTGTTCTATTATCTTCATTAGACTCCACACACCCCTAGGCCTGGAAGGTGTTGGCAGTGAATGTTTGTTAATGAATTATTAACTAGTGTGGAGAAAGGAAAACCTATTTTCCCCGGAGAGATTTTCTTACCATTGTTTTAGAAGCAAACAATGAGCATATTTGTTTTTTAAAAAGAATGCATGTAGGGCTTTACTGTTTGTTTTATTTTCCTAGTGACATTAGGTGGTTAGGAGACAGGACAGTTTAAAGGTGAAAATAGACGAACAGATTGAGAGAATTCAATGTTTTTACTATATTAATAGTTCTGAAATAAATGTTATCTGGATTTATCACCAAAATTACTCATTTCACTCCCCTCTACACAACCTGTGGTACTGTAGTAATACAAGGCAACTGATAGCCCTTGTCCACATCACTCAGATACATGCCAGGACTCGAGATTCACTGAAGACTCCAGTCTTTATTTTCACTTTAATTATCTTTTACTTAATAAAATGAAAAATAAGAATATACGAATACACACAATCTATATACATATATTTATTGCAAATACTTAAAGATCTTATGTAAAATGATTTTTCTATATTTGTGAAAAAATATGACTTTTTAAATGGTGTTGACACCAACTTTTCTGTACATACCCTCAATTCCAATGTTAACAATTCCTTTAAAAAGGCAAAAAGACACAAAAGTTTAGCTTTTACCAAACCAGTCTATACAAACCTTATAGCCAGAAGGAAAAAAAAAATAGCTTGTGGTAAATAAGTCAATTTTCCTTTAAAATAAAAAATTAACTCCAACCCCCTTATTGCATTTTTTTTGGAAATAATCTGAGTGTCTTTTGAGTAACTTCCTTTGAAATTGTTTGTGCCTTAACAGTGAGGTCCTACATTACACATACCATATATGAGAAATTCAGTCTTCCACTGTTATTTTTTACATAGATATTAAAATATATATTACTTAAAATATATTACTGGAAAGCTATTTTTAAAATTGATCTTTAATAGTTGTATCAAATGTAAAGCATTAATAAAAATAAAGTAACCAATAATCTATGCGGCTCTTCAACTTTAGAAATGTTTTTACCTATTGTTTTCTTTCAATAGGTATGTAGGTATTGAAACATGGTAGGAAAGATCTCTATCATCATGTTTCTCAGTCTCTTTGGACTTGTCTATAAATTTAGCTGAAAACCACCATTGGCCAAGTTTTTACTTCGCACACTGCTGTAATGCAATGGGAGACTTTCCCTCCTTGTCATGAAATCAAACTTCTAGGTGACAGAGAACAATCCTGGCACTGCTCACTGACAGTGAGTTCTAGAAATAAATAGCAGTGTAATGACCAGAGAAGACCCCCTAATCACAACAAATCATTTCACCCGAGTTTTTTTTTAAAGGACTCTAAGGCAGAGAATGGCAATAATAAGCAATTAGGATGATGACTATCAGGTCATTAATATGTATGATTTACTCCTTCACCTGGAAGGCAATGAGGTCTTCCTTTGGCTATTTAAATCAGATAGCTTCCTAAAACAACTACATCTGTGTGCCTTCCCAGCCCATGCAAGTATGCTTCTCCTACCCCAAGTAAAAATACACGTCAGGTCTGATTCTTTAAAATGTTACAGGGGCTACCACAGATAGATTTAGTATCTTGAGCACAGGAGTTAAGGGATAAAGCAGAGCAAACAACTCCAGGTTATTTGGCTTTATTCTCTATTTAACAGGATGGAGAATTTTAGTCAAAATTCTTTAAGACTCTGGGAGCCTCTTTACCAGATGACTCCATACTCCTGAGTGAGACTGAGATGACATGCTGTTAGTGCCTGCTCCCCAAGGTGACCTGCAGTGGGGTATGGGGAGCACACCCTGGAGGCATAAGCATCAGGCAAAATGCCCGACTAGTCACTCGAAACAGTGCAACTTAGTTTCAGAAAAATAAGCTTAGCACTTACTAGGTTGATTTAAATGATAAAGTAATTATGAAAACTTAAAATAAAAATTCCTTTAAAGGCACTGGAGTGCCATACTTTAATAATTTTGATTTTTCTTATTCCTTCTGTCTTATTTTCAAGACAATTTTCTTCTTATTTAGTTGATGGCTTTCAACCTGAAACCACTGTTTTCAAACAAACTGATATATAGGTTGTATTCAGTTTACTACCAATCTAAGAAACCGAACTATTCTCTCTTTTGGTCAATATTGAGGCAGTGTACCTAGTTGACAATTTATGTTTTAGGGGCAGTAATAAAGGCAGGTATTTTATTAGCTGGGTATTATATTACTTCTGAAGAAAATCTTGTGAACAGTAAATCTTAGGACCATCTGCAAGAGTGTGGGTCAAGATGAAGAGGCACGGAATGGTTTGCTCTCTAAATGAACTTGAATATCCCTGATCCTTTCCTGGTTAGTCTATCCATCCTCAACTTAAAGGAACCACGGAGCAGACATTTCTATTTCAGGAAAGTTGTGAAGAAGAAAAGCCACATTAATTAACCCCAATTGGTAACTAATTGGCTAGTTCTAAACTCTCAGAAACTTCCAGCACACAGACCAACCTCCAGTCTGCCACTCACGTGGGGAGTGCAGAAGCTAGGCATGGGCAGTTCTAACCAGCATTAGGTTTCTCAGGTCCCCCCTGAATTCCCCAGGGCAATGCAAATTTGGGAACAGAACCACGGTTTCTGTTTGCTACTGGTTCTCAACTGGAGAACTTAACCCTTATCCCTGGGTCCTTGCAGCTTTCATTTCTCTTAGCTCTGTGTGTGCTGGAAGAAAAAAGTTAGAATGACATATTGTCTTGGCTGCAACAAGAACATAGATAATAGTCCTCTATTTGCCTTGGACCACACCAAAAACAAAAGCAAAAAATGAAAATTAGTGAAATAATGAGTCTCTTAGGGAGTATGAAAATATTAAGAGTGTATAATAACATGGAGGAAGGGGAAGACAGGGTAACAGAATGAAAGCAAAGCCAAGATTATTACTGCTTTCTCCTAATCTGGAATGTGACTTAATTAACAAGTTTACACTGTTCTGCATGTTATAAATATCACATCCTGAATATTAAGTACAACTACAACTGGACTAGTTATAGTACTTTTACTTTACACACTTGGAATTAGAAAACTTGAAATCAATATGCAAATGATGCACGTTGACAATACCCAATTTTAAAATATCATATTCTGGTGAATGGTAGGCTTATTTTAATGTTCTTTAACCATGACCTAAATATATGTACTGGAAAATTCTTTAGTTGCTAAATACAGGCTTAAAAACATAAGGACACAAAAAAGAATAAAAACAAACAACGAAGTTTTAGAGGTAATTTCTCTCCTTTCTAGATGTTCCCCTATCCCAGTGGTCGGTAAACTCATTAGTCAATAAGAGCCAAATATCAAAAGTACAGCAATTGAAATTTCTTTTGCGAGCCAAATTTTTTAAACTTCTAATGCCACTTCTTCAAAATAGACTCGCCCAGGCCATGATATTTTGTGGAAGAGCCACTCTCAAGGGGCCAAAGAGCTACATGTGGCTTGTGAGCCACAGTTTGCCGACCACGGATCTAGCCATTTACTGAAGCCCCTTCACATTAAAAATTTCTAATGCGTAGACAGCAGAAATCCAAAATGGGACATATTTTCTAAAACAGGAAAAGTGTCTGACTTTTATTGTATGTGTCAGTGCATACATGTCTTCAAATATATTACTCCATACTCCTCAGATGCCTGGGAAGTCAAAACAGGTTTACCAGAATGGGCAAAGGTGGCACTTAAGAGCTTACTACCTGCAGCAAGAGCTGACTATAGAACATCAGGTAATGTGTTGGAAAAAAAGAGGCTTCCTTGTTTCTAATGTTAAAAATCTTACCCAAGTATCTTTGTTGTTTCTACACCTTTACTCCCCTTGCCCAACAAAACACATAATTCAAACGACCCCAGCACTAACACCTTCCTGTTTATTTTATACTAGTATTTCATACCTGTTGTAAGCTCCCATGATTACGCACTTGGGTTATTGCTGGAACTGTTGCCCCGCCCAGGCTATAGTACCAGCAGGGGCCAGAGAGGGGCCCCCTCTTTCTGAACCACCTTCACTATCTCAGGGCAGGGGATTAGGCAGCAGCAGAGACCCACAAATCGCATACAGTGTGCTTGGAATAGAACTGGCTTATGGAAGCCAAGAACCAAGTCAAGAGCTTTCAGAGTCTGAACACTCGCTGTGAAATGAATACCTTATCAAAAACCTGAACTTAAGACTCCATTTAAAGTAAAGGGACTTAGTAAACCCTGAACCCATATTCTGGAAAGGCTGAATAAACCTATGGCAGATGGTTAAGACATAATCAGCATGAAAGGTCATTTCTCCAGACCATTTTGTTCACGCTTTCCTCTTCCCAGCCTCTCAGGAAAGGACAGAAGGCAAACAAGCTTCCTTCCACCATGCATGGCATTAAACTTAAGAGTCACATGAAGTAGACCATAGATGTGAATTAAAAGTAATACATCATTACCTAAACACTTGGAAAAACAATGTTAAAACAAAATGTGACATATTTACATGATTTTGTAAGTGCAAACTTGTCACAAATTCACAAAGTCTTGCTGACTTAGACTTACTATACAAGGTGCTCTTCCTTTAAAGTATAAGATCTGTACTCTGTATACCTGATTAAGTAACATTTGCCTCTTGACAACTGAAGTCTACTTGTTTATTTCTGTGATTCCAAAAGGACACAAACACACAGCCCGACAACCCTTCCCTCGGGCTCCCTTAGTGTGCTCTTTCTACTCGTTACCGAACAACAAGGCAGGACACACACAGTTTGGAGGGGCCAATGCAGTCATCATGGCAGAAGGCTCCGCACCCCTTGCACATGATCATGGCTTTCAATCGGCAGTAACACTTTGAAGGCGTGTCCTCTATGCTGTTCTCTTCGGGAAATGCCTGAACAGGAATGGTCTGGCCATGGCTGCTGGGATTCATAGCTTGGCTAGCAGGGATGGTGGTGACAGTCACTGAAAAGGACATGACATCACCTACGTTGCTAGATACCTGGCCACAGTCAGGCATCCCCGGAACAACAGAGTTATGGTCCATGTCAGACGAGGTGGAGACGTTGATCATGCCTCGGTAGCTGGGCCCAATCTGTGTGGGGCTCCCATACAGCTTTGGGGTTTGCAGTGGTGGGAGGAGGAGAGGCTGATGAGTGGGACTGTCTGCAGGTGGAGGAAGAGCAGTGGCACTGAAAACCTCGGGGCTGCTATGCATTGCCTTACCTCTCGCTGCATGAGCCATCTGCTGCTGTGCTGCCTGAATTAGATCTCTGGCTAGGGTCTTTTCATCAAATGTTTGGCCTCTAGTGAACAGATAATTCTCCTTGTTTAAAGCAGTTTGCACTGGTGTCTCTACCTTCACATTCTGTTTAGCTAAACAATCAGTGGGTAGGGTTTCTCTACTGTGGGGTCCTGAACTTGCTTCACACTTGCCAGAGCTCTGGGAAGCTGGGTGCTCCTCCTTCACCATGGCCGATTCTTCTTCATCAGCAGTACTTTCCTCATCACTATCTTCTTTGTCGCTGCTATTATCTCCCGTTTCATTTTTACAGTCTGCATATCCCATTTTCAAGGCTTCGGTGGGGCTACTAAGACAAAAACGATCTTCCGGGTTTACAGAATGGGTCCTCCTAACGCTCTCCGAACCCCGGCCGTAGGTGGAAATGTTAAGTAAGTAGTGACCTGCCATTGCAGGCTTCGAAGTCCTTCTGCCAGCAAAGCCCAGCATGAAGCGCTGGCTCGTGGAAATGTCTTCTAACGGGAAACCTGAGTGACTGAAGTTGAACTGGGAGGGCTGCACAAATGAGAGAAGATTATGCCTCTGGATCTGAACCCTCTGGATGAGAGTCTGAAGGATCTGATCTTGAGCTGTTTTACTTATTCCTTCTTGGTGTGTATCAATGCTGGGGTCCCTCAGATCCTTACCTGAAAAGAGCTGAAGGGGTCTGGGAACCTGGGAGAGATGCTTACTTTGCAAGGTTTTACCCAGCTGCTGTATAGCTGGGTGAGAAGGCCTCTCATGAACTTCCTCTCCGGTGCTACTTTCTGTTTTGCTGGTGCCTGTGGGCGCTCCTATCCCCATTTCCTCTTTTGCAGTCAGTGGAACAGTTTTCATCTCAACTTTGGTGAGTGGTTTAGGCAGAATTTGCTCCATGGGAACATCTTTGCCCTGGAGCAGCTGAGTGACCAGAGGATTATTAGCAGGGATACTTGAGCTTGGCCGTGAAATGGGTCCATTCATATTTGAAGAAGTTCCTGGAGTTTTAAGGCTAGAAATTGCTGGCAAAGTGCTTGAGGATGGAACTGGTCCGGGAGGTGCTACAGTTCCACTGACCTGGGGTATGGAAAGCTTTTCTAAAGTGGCTGCTATCAATAAAGATGTTAAAGGGGAGGAAGTCATATCCACTGAAGCCCTGGCAGTAGTCTCTGCTGAGGCTGAAGTGTTAGGTGTATTCTTACTACAACCTGCTTTGGGCTCAACTGTGCCATCAGCTGCAAAGTGAACAGGTGTAGCACCTGAGATTAGAGCAGGACCTGCTGGAGCAGAAGGTAACTTCTCCCTGCAATGACTGGGCCCTTGTGGGTGGCTAAGAGAGGCCACTGTGGCTGCTGCCCTGGTGGCATTCAGTTTCTCAATATTCAATTTCCCTACAGTTGGTGGGGGTGGGTTAGTGTGAGCTAGTGATGGGACACTTGTGCATGCTCCACTGATGGCAGATGTTGGAGGCACTGAGGGGGTTTGCTGTAGTTGTGCTCCAGAGACACTAAGAGGCTGTGGCTGGCTTGGGGACTTGGTCTCAGATTGGGGCTGAGTCTCTGAACCACAGGGTAAAAGCTCTCTCGGACCTCCCCTGCTTCCAGTTCCTGCCAGTTCCAGTGTGGGGCCCTTTCCAGTTTCTCTGACTCTGTCTGAGTCTGGATTCCCTCCTCTAGCGGTTTTCCTTTCACCACCCTCTCCTGGACCTTGTCCACCCCCTGGGCCAGGTCCTGGAATGGTCCCTCCAACTGAGGCGGCGGCGGCAGCTGCGGCGGCGGCGGCAGCTGCTGCCCTCTGTGCTTTGACCAGCTGGGCTTTTGCTTTGATGTCGGCGAGAGTTCTGGCTCCTGTTCTGTTAGGACTAGTGATGGAGATTGGAAAACGAGCCCTGGGAGAGACCTGCGATGTAGGAAACAGCATGGGGGAGATTCTGGAGACCGGGATCTGAAAGAAGTAGGGGAGGAAACAACAGAGCTTAGTTTCATTTACAAGAACAACAAAACGTTATTAGCATACTTTAGAACAGGATGAACACTACAGCACCTGTGACAAAGATGGGAAGTTTCCAATGAGAGACCAAATCATGGAGACAGCAACACAATTTTTATATACATTTATAACATTTGTAATAAAATTTCAATTTTGTTTTTCTACATAAATTTTGTTTAAAAGGTATTTTGTTATAAATGACTTTAAGGTCTGTCTAAGAAAGCAGGATTTGAAATAGAGTCTAAGGTAAAATTAGAGTTAGTAAAGCAACTTCTGGTACAAATTCTTCTTTTTTTTTTTTTTAAATATAATTTATTGATTTTTCACAGAGAGGAAGAGAGAGGGATAGAGAGTTGCCTCTTGCACACCCCCTACTGGGGATGCACCCGCAACCAAGGTACATGCCCTTGACCGGAATCGAACCTGGGACCTTTCAGTTCCCAGGCCGACGCTCTATCCACTGAGCCAAACCGGTCCCGGCTGGTACAAATTCTTTTTTGGAGGGATGAAGAAGGAGAAGAAACTAAAAGGAAAAAAGTTAAATAGTATTAGCTTGGTGACAATGGATTTAAGTTTTCAGCATTGAATCTCTTAGGATTAGCAAACTATGATGTAATTCAGCCTCTTTACAGATTAGGAAATAGAAAGGATGGATCTCACCAAGTATCATTGGTATAAAATAAAATCTAAACACAACTCAGCTCTCAGGACTAGAGATTAGTTTGATTAACATTCATTAAAGAAAGGTTTCTAGCCCTCGCTGGGTTTGCTCAGTGGATAGAGCGTCAGCCCGTGGACTGAAGGGTTCCAGGTTTGATTCTGGTCAAGGGCACATGCCTGGGTTGTGAGCTCGATCCCCAGTAGAGGGCGTGCAGCAGGCAGCCAATCAATGATTCTCTCTCATCATTGATGTTTCTATCTCTCTCTCCCTCTCCTTCCTTCTCTGAAATCAATAGATATATTTTTTAAAAAAGGTTTCTACTATCTTTATAAGAATAGTAAAAATAATTATCATATAAATGAGAATATCTGGCAAAGCATGACAGAATATGTTAGTGGTAGAAAATTGTCAAAAATAAGGATTCCTAAGTAATGAAACCATAAATGGTAAAAATAAAAAGTAATGAGGAATATCATACTTTTAGTAATAAGAGGCAAAATGAGAAAAGAAGTCATGTGGTACATGACATGGGTCAAGTACTAGTGAATGAATGCTTCCACAGGACATTTCCTGACAAAAAAAATAATTTTGAGTCATCGAAGTTAAATAAGAGAGGGGAGAGGGGAAGCAGTATTTCTATATGGCTTATTAATACCTAGTGCCTCATAGTAGACACAATGGTATTAATAAATACTATTAATAAATATTATGTATTAATTAAATAAATAAAAGGACTGCAAACTAATATTAAGCACAAGCCCAAGAATTAATAAACCTTTAAATTAAAAGTAGAAATGTATTTGGGTTTTCAAAGGTAGACTATTGATTAGATGCAGTCTTTATATACAGAGAGACATTGCTATAAGAATTTGAAAGATTTGACAGATAGAAATATAAGGTTAAAAAAGAAACTAAGACATATCCTAAGCAGTAGAGCTTAGCAACACTATGCCATCTTACCAATGTCCTTCAAATAACCAGTGGTGACTCATGGTAGCCACATATTTCCTTTAAAAGGATGGACTAGCCAAAACCGGTTTGGCTCAGTGGATAGAGCGTCAGCTTGGGGACTGAAGGGACCAGGGTTCGATTCCGGTCAGGGGCATGTACCTTGGTTGCGGGCATATTCCCAGTGGGGGGTGTGCAGGAGGCAGCTGATCGATGACTCTCTCTTATCAATGTTTCTAGCTCTCTATCTCTCTCCCTTTCTCTCTGTACAAAATCAATAAAATATATATTAAAAAAATAATAATAAAATAAAAAAATAAATAAAAGGATGGACTAGCCCAACCAGTGTGGTTCAGTGGTTGAGCATCAACATACGAACCAGGAGGTTACAGTTCAATTCCCAATCAGGGCACATGCCTGGGTTGTGGGCTTGATTCCAAGTAGGGGTGGGGGGAAATGTGCAGGAGGCAGCCAATAATGTACTCTCTCATCATTGATGTTTCCACTCTCCCTTCCTCTCTGAAATCAATAAAAATATATATATATATTTTTTAAAAAGGATGGACTAAAGATAGCTCTAGAACCACACATCACATAAGTTATAATAGTAAGGAAAAGGCCAGGGTACACTTCAATATTGTGGCTTTTGGATCACACCAATGGCCTCATGTTTATCATTATACTTCTTACTAGAGGTCTGGTGCACAAATTTGTATACCAGTGGGGTCCCTCTGCCTGGCCTGCAGGATTGGGCTGAAACTGACTCTCCAATGTCCCCCTAGGGGTCCCAGATTGTGAGAGGGCACAGGCCAGGCCGAGGGACTCCACAGATGCATGATTGGCACTGGGGAGAGACACAGGTTGGCCAGCGGGGGAGAGACCACAGAAGGACTCCAGGGCATGTCAGATCCATCCTGCTCAGTTCTGATTGGCCAGACCCCAGCAGCAAGCTAACCTACTGGTCAGAGCATCTGGCCCCTGGTGGTCAGTGCACATCATAGCGCCTGGTCAACCATTTGACTGTCTGCCCCCTGGTGGTCAGTTCACATCATAACAAGCGGTTGAGTAGCCTTAGCATATCATACTTTGATTGGCTGAATGGCCAACCAGTTGACCAGATACTTAGCATATTAGGCTTTTACTATATAGGATTTTGCCACATGAGACAATAATTCCCATAACTGTCTTAAGATACAAAAGTAGCCATCACATATCCAGGTACCTTACTTAATCAAACAACACAAAGATCTGTAGGAATGTAGTCTAAATAGCTGTTTATTGACAATTTTGTTTATATAAGACCATAGTTGTCTTATATGAATATATATAACTGCTTCTACCATTAAAAAATACCGAATTACTTCACATTTGGTAGGCATGACCAAAAATGTAGTGTTGAGGCCACCTCTCTCTTTCCGTTCGGCAAGTTCTCTTACCTTGAGAGGTGGTACTCTCCGCACTTGGATCCTGTCCCCTCTACTGAGAAAGGGCTGTGGGGAGACCTGAAATGGCTGCTGGTGCTGGCGATTCTCAGTGACGCGCGGCCTCTTCTCCCCGCTTGTAGGGGCCTCTTCTTGGGTGAGAGATTTCCTCTTGAGGCTTTCTGGGCTGTGTTCAACCAGAGCTGGTGAAGGCTCTTTCATAGTGGCCTCCTGCGGACCTGCTTCTGTGATGGGCTTCATTATCGGTTTCTCTACTCCAGGACTCTCGGGTTTGCTTGGAGACTTAACTGAAGCTTCTTGGCTTTCATTTTTGTTATAATTAGAAGCTGTAGTGAGATGATTCTCTTTCTCAGATTCCTGTTCAGCAGAGGCAACTGGCTTCTGCCCCAAGACATCCTCACCCTTTGGGCACTTGATGGGGAGAATGCTGCTATGCTCATTTGTATCGCTGGGAGAGGAAAGAAGGGGCTCTGCGGATTCAGGGTTTGGCTGCACCTTATCTTGGCTTTCGTGCTCTTCTTTTCTGACTGGGGATGGCATATGCACTTCTTCTTCTTTAGATTCTGCCTGGGGAATTACAGGGATTATACTGACAGGAGGGACCTCTGAAGGAAGCATGGATTTTGGTAGCTCAGCCGAGGGTTTCTTTACTTTAGGATCGCTGGGTGAAGCTGTCAATTTCTTTGAATCCTCAAGGCTCAGGCCGGAACTAAAAAGTGGAAGAAAGAAATATTCTAGTTGAGAAATAGCCCAAGTTATTGAAAGCATTATGAGATAATGGTATATGGCAATGCCTCGAAGAACCTGATGCATAATAGGTGTCTTTCTTATAATATCTTCATCCTCAGCATTATCATTATTATTACTGAAGGTTCTGGAGCCAATATTGACTAGCCATGTTATATTAAGTGACTAGACTTTTGTACCTCAGTTTCTTCAACTGTGTACTGAGGTTAATCATTTGATAGCATTATTATGACCATTAACTAAGTAATGCATGTAAAATACTTAAGATTAGTTCCTAGCCCATAATGAAAGTTCAATAATGTTCATTATTATTATTACTTCCTGTTATAAAGGGGCCACATTATCTAGAGACATGCATCACGAACTATCCTCAAGGGAAGTGAAAGAAGGCCATGACCTACACACCCTGAGATTGTGGGTTTAGACTGGATCAACCCTGCTCTGCAGTTATCTATAGAAAGACTAGCTCCTAAAACCTGAGGCCCTAAGGAGATAATAGGAGTTGGCTATCAATGTTCTCCAGAGGATGAGAATTACAATTCTGAATTTTTGGAAAGCCTATTTAATTTACTTGATATAGCTCTGTAATTCTGATATCCAGTGCCTCTAAGCTATTCTGGGAGTGAGTGAAGGCCAAGTCTGGCCTGGCTAAGAACTAGGCTACTCTGTAGGGGTTGCTAGGGACTCCTAATGTTTTAGAATGTTGTTTAACAGGAAGCACTGGAGGTTCAGTGGTCGAATTCTTGCCTTCCATTTGGGAGACCTGGATTCCATTCCCAGCCTTTAGGTTCAGTTTCTGGCCTATATATTCTAGAATATTGTTTAACAGGCAAAAACAAGGCAACCCTTTTTGGTGACTTCAAATAATCTGTACTGCACTTCTGAGATGAAATGGCAAAGGGCAAAACTGGACAGTAATAAAAAACAGCCCTTCTATAAAAGCTGGCAAAAAGAGCTAAATACTGAAGGATCCAAGAACTGCTATAATGCTTTATCTGCCAGGTGAGGAGAGAATGAACAATATTTATGGAATACCTGGTATCTGTAATGATTATCTAAATGTACACATAGCATCATTTCTATAGAACTCAAAACTCATACCAAGAATATAGAAAATTCAGTATATGAGACTCTTGATCCTAACAGGAATCATTTCCTAAATGACCATGAAGATGTCAATGAACATTACTTGGAAATAAGGAAGAGAGCCAATAGTTCTCAAGCTGTGGTATGGAATCTCCTTAAGGGTTTCCATTTAGGTATGCAAAAGAAAGGGAAATTAACAAATAAGACTGGGTGTTCAATCCTATTTCAAACAATACAGCTCCATTGTCTCCTATTTCAATGTTCCCCCATTAAGACTTCATCTGGATTTTTTATTAGAAAAAAACTGATTTAGACTACAGCTTCTTGAGAACAGGATTTATATTTTGTTTCAGAGTGCCTTCTATAGAGGAGAGGCTGTTTAATTAAACATTGGATATAACAGCCCTTATTACAGGATCCCTAGAGTTCTTTAGTGATTCATATTGTGAAATTAAAATTATTGCATGAACTATATAAAACTTCAGTATTTTTATATTTTATAAAAATACTGGGAGAAAAGCCAATCTACTTAAAGAAAGAGACTTCAATTCAAGATCATTAAAATCTTTTTTAAAGAAACCATCCAACCACAATAGCAATGTTTTACGAGTTAAAGATTATGACTAATCCAATTCTGTGTACTTGAGAATCGTAAAGAGAAAAAAATTTTCTCAGGAAAGAATTGTGAAAATATAGAAGGAAATTAAGGACTACATTTTCTGGGAAGGTAATAAGATGAAGCACCACATGACAGAACCTATCTTGATATTACCTCTGACCATAGTAGCTTTCAAAGAATTGCTCTTTCCATGGCTCTACTTTTTTCTCCTTCTCAATTTCTTGTCGAATTCTCACCTGCATCTCAGGTGTAAACTCACCTATAAATGTAAAAAATATATATATATTCAATAGCCACTTTTAAATATTTATAAGTCATGAAAGACTCATGAAGGAGTCAGAATACAGTATTGTGAAAGCATGAAAAATGTGCCCAAATTCCTCACTGTAAAGTACCCAAGTGCCATTAAGAGCAATAAAAACACGTGTACACCACTCCAGGTAGTTTTCAGTACACAGCTGAGGCCAACTGGGCCTCTTTTCTGGACTTTCCTTGTCGTACTTTCCTCTTACTCCAAACATATTTTCCCTACAGATTTCTTTTATCACGAATCTTGATTCTATAATTGCTTTCCACTAGAAAAACGCTCATGAGTTTTCAGTAAATAATGCCACTGAGCATTTTATTTTAAAGTTTTGTTTTTTCAAGGCAACATGTGCTTTAAGATTTTTATCTCTAACTGCGTATTGAACTGCTGTGTCCATTTGAGATTCCAGTAAAAACATATGAAGTTACTTTGGACTTATTAGTTTTCTAATAGTACCAGTTTATTGCCCTAGAAATGAGGCATGCAAAATGCCAAAGACCAGCTCTGCATATGCCATTTATTTGTATCAACTACCAACTACCTCAATCCTTCCCACTCCATCAGCAGAAAACAGTCAATATACTTGGTAGGCCATCTTCAAACTCATGGCTCAGAAAGGTTTCTCCCTTTTATACTCTTATTAGTAGCATGGTGCACGTATTTGTGCACACTGAAAAAAAATTAATTAGAAGGAATAATTTAATGTCACTATAATTAGAAGGAATAATTTAATGTTTTTAAAAGGGCAAATGGCCTGAAAAGACACTTCTCCAAAAAGGACATATAGATGAAAAATATATACAATAAATTAAATAAAAATTTTAAGCCCTGGCAGGCCCAATCAGTGTGGCTCAGTGGTTGAGTGTCAATCTATGAACAAGGTGTGGTCACTGTTTCCACTCCTGGTCAAGATACATGCCCAGGTTTCAGGTTTGATACAAGTGGGGGGGAGGGGCATACAGGAAGCAGCTGATCAATGATTCTCTCTCATTATTAATGTTTCTTTCTCTCTCTCTCCCTTCTCCTCTAAAATAAATAAATATATATATATTTTTTAAAGCCCTGGCAGAGTGGCTCAATTGATCGGAGCGTTCTCCCCCATACCAAAAGATTGAGGTTTGATTCCTGATGAAGGTATGTACAGAAGGCAACTGATCGGTATTTCTCTCTCACATCGCTGTTTCTCTCTCTCTCTCCTCTCTGCCTTTAAAAATCAATTTAAAAAACAACAACATATCCTCAGGTGAGGATTAAAAAATATAATTAAAAAAAAAAGCATTAAAAAAAGTTGTTTTAGAGAAAGAAATGCTAAAGCTCAAACACCATCCTAGATTAATAAAAACAAACTCATCAGAGTGGGTCTAGCCATCAGTAGTTCGAAAAACACCACAGATGACTATAATGAACAGCCAAGGTTAAGAATCGCTAATATTGCTGAAACTGGTTTGGCTCAGTGAATAGAGCGTCAGCCTGCGGACTGAAAGGTCCTGGGTTCGATTCTGGTCAAGGGCATGTACTTTGGTTGCAGGCACATCCCCAGTCGGGGGTGGGCAAGGGGCAGCTGGTCAATGTTTCTCTCTCATCGACATATCTAACTCTCTATCCCTCTCAATTCCTCTCTATGTAAAATCAATAAAAAAATATATTAAAAAAAAACAAAAAAAATTGCTAATATGACTGATACTGTGTGCTGTACAAATGCGATAAATCAATCGCTCTTTTATACTTTATAATTTACTCTCAGTAACTTTGTTAGATCAGAATTAAAAGCAAGGCATACGTGGTAAACCAGTGACCACAAACAGCAATTCTAAGTTATAATCTATTATTTATTAAAACCTCTGACTGCCACTAAACTATACACTTGTAATGGTAAGTTTTACAGTATGTAAACATTTTTCAATAATGCTGTTTTTTAAGAAGTCCTTAGTGATTCTTTTCACTGTTAGTTTTATTGAGGTTGGGCAGTAATAAAGAGGTTATCTCGCCGGGACCGGTTTGGCTCAATGGATTGAGCGTCGGCTTGGGGACTGAAGGGTCCCGGGTTCGATTCCGGTCAAGGGCATGTACCTTGGGTGTGGGCACATCCCCAGTGGGGGGTGTGCAAGAGGCAGCTGATTGATGACTCTCTCTCATCGATGTTTCTAACTATCTCTCTCCTTTCCTCTCTGTACAAAATCAATAAAAATATATTAAAAAAAAAAAAAAAGAGGTTATCTCCACTGCTTACCAAAAGATGGTTATAATTCATAGCATCATAAAATAACTAATTCTATACTCTACTTTTAGGGAGCTTATTAGAATTTTAATTTGAATTCACCTAGAATTACTGAATCAGAATGTTTGGGGATAAGGCTTAAACATATGTACTCTTTAGTTTCCCAAATGACTTTAAACCCTTAAAAGAAACATTGTTGAACTCCATCTGAAGCCAAACCTGAATACATAAGTTCCTGATAAAAGTCTAGCAATGTATTTCATAAAATAAATGAAATAAGATAGCTAGTTTTACCTTATGGAAATACCTTATCCTTTGCCTCCCAAAATTGCTCAAATACCCACTGAGGTACCAGTATGTCCTTATAGCAGCTCAAAGTGCATACACATGCTAGGGGACAAGGTAGAACACTTACCTTCTGAGAGTCTTTCCTTCCAGCCTTGAGCTGCTGAAGTGAAGAATTCATTGTTAAGGGCTGAACCATTTAGCTTCATCAGACCATCTGGACCAACCTGGGTCAAAGAGTAAGCCAAGGAAAGCTTACAAAGAAAGCCAAACATTTCATGTGGAATATGACTTTTTTATTTTTATTTTTTTAGAAAAGGATGCATGTACATTCAATTTTATAGAAACATGACTATATCATATTATGCTGCTTATTATGAACACTACTTTATAATCTTTTTTCTAAAAAAATTCTTTCCTTTTTACCTCTTTTCCCTTCTTCCTCTATCAATTCCATTCCCCAATGATTAATTATTCTAAAGAGAAAACATCTGCAAAATTCTTAAGAGTTTTTCTTCTGAGAAGTTTATTATTTGTTTTATAAAACTGTGACAAAGTTACATACACTGCTCTGAATCTCACTTGGTTCAGGAATACATTGTGAAAGTCTCTCCACAAGTCCACTGGTACAGTTTTAGCAACTTTGTAGTACCTGCATATTATTTCATTGTATAACGTACCTCACCTCATTTACCAATTTCCTATGCATATACAAATACTTTGTTTCCCATGTTTTCCCATCATCAACAAAGCTGCAATATGGGTTCTGGTAAAGATGAATGTACTAGTGTAAAATTTCTGTGGGATAGGTTCTGAAAGCAAAGAAATATTTATGTTGCTGAAACCGGTTTGGCTCAATGGATAGAGCATCGGCCTGCGGACTCAAGGGTCCCAGTTTTGATTCCGGTCAAGGGCATGTACGTTGGTTGCGGGCACATCTCCAGTTGGGGGATGTGCAGGAGGCAGCTGATCGATATTCCTCTCTCATTGATGTTTCTAACTTTCTATCCCTCTCCTTTCCTCTCTGTAAAAAATCAATAAAATATATTAAAAAAAGAAAAAGAAATATTTATGTGTTATTAGATATTATTTTCTAAAAAGGCTAAAACAATTCACATTTCAACTAGAAATATATGAGTATACCTTTTAACCTGTAAACAATAATACAAAAATGCTATTTAATTTTTGCTAACCCAATGGGTTTGAAATGGTAAAAATTTCCTTTATCCTGCCTAGCATGTTGTGCATCTTTTTGTACTTTCATTGAATATTTCTATTTGCCATCTTGTAATATGCCAATTCCCTATCATTTGCTCATTTTTCTATGAGGCTGCTTATTTTTATTATCAACTTGGGAGAATCCTTTACTATTCATAGTGAAACTATCATGTCAAAAATATTTCACCCAATCTGTCTATTGACTTGATTTGTGATGTCATGATGGCTTGCCAAAGGTTTTAAGACTCTTCTTTATATTACAGATTTTTTATTTCCTGTCCTGGTTTAAAAGCACAAAATCTCATTTAAGGGCATAAAACACAGTATCTGGGGAAAAAAAAAACCTGGATGGAAAAACTTAATAAATATGCTATTCTCCCTAAAGTTAATATCTACATTCCTATAAGAATCCCCATGCAGACTCTCTTATTAATAAAATGACCTTAATATTCACATGAAAAAAAATAACAAAATTGAGAAGAGGGCAATTGTCTCTCTCTTTTTTTTTAACTGCCTTTTCAATTGCACCTGTAAAGTACATACCACATGTAAATATATAGAACATATAACACAAATGGTATTTCAAACTGTAAGAAAAAGATGGTTATTCAAGTATCTAGTTTTAGAACAACTGGTTATTCAGTAGAAAATAAAGTAGAACCCCAATTTTGGGGCATTATAAAAATAATTCTAGATGAATTAAATACCTAAATGTTTTTTGAAGTAAAAAACAATTTTTTGAAGAAAATTCAAATAACTACTTGGACATCCTGGAGACTGAATTTATAAAGGGGGAAAAAAAACCTCTCATCAAAATGTCAAGATTACAAATTACATAAAAATATTCTTATTTTTTTGTTTAGTACCTTTGATATCACTTTTTAAAAAATATATATATTTTATTGATTTTTTACAGAGAGGAAGAGAGAGGGATAGTTAGAAACATCGATGAGAGAGAATCACCGATCAGCTGCCTCCTGCACACCCCCGACTGGGGATGTGCCCGCAACCAAGGTACATGCCCTTGACCGGAATCGAACCCGGGGCCCTTCAGTCCAGAGGCCGACGCTCTATCCACTAAGCCAAACCGGTTTCGGCATACCACTTCTTTATGGGTATAAATAAAAAGCTATTTTTAAAAATGTAAGGAGTTCAAAAGGAGATGAAGGAAGCATTAGAATGGTTATAAAACTGCTTCTGCTTGAAATTACGCACCTGTCGATCTACCTCTGGAAGCAGTAAAAGCAGTCGCTGTTGGCAATCTCCAGGAAGGACTGAAAAGGTGTGCTTGTTGATCAGTGCTCGAAGATTTGTATTAACCAGAATGGAGTCTGGTGTCTCAACATCAATTTCAGCACATTTAGTCCTTTTCATTTGTCCTACAAAAATATGAAAAAGAATCATTTGGGCCTCCTTCAAATTCCTGTTTATATCTAAACTACAGCATGTTCTGCAATGCAAATAAATAAATAAATAAATAGACATGTATAACTGTAAGTATTTTAAATATCATATTATGAAGAAGGTAACACTTAAGGCTCTTAGAAATTTCTTCTAAGACTAACAAAGCAAGTTTTGTTCATTCATAAAGGATAAAAAAATACAATTTATCTTCTGTGCAAAAAATAGAACAAGGTCTATAAAATTGAATCTTCTGCCATAATAAAAGTACATTTTATGTATGTTTGAGAACTGGATATTTCCCAAATAGAATTGAGGAAGTTTATGATAAATAACATATATACTAAATTTGATTTAAAAAAATAGAAAAATTCAAGTCTATATATAAATTATACTGAGGCCCTTGTTCTCTTCCCATGAAAATTTTTGATGCTCAACCACTGAGCCATGCTGGCTGGGCCAAATAACATTTCTTTTTAAAAATTCTTAATTGAATTTATTGGGGTGATACATCCTATATAATAAAGAGACAATATGCAAATTGGTCCTCATGCCCTCACATCACAAGATGGCCGCCCCATATCATCACAAGATGGCTGGCCAGGGGAGGGCAATTGGGAGCTACCAGGCCTGTCTCACCCTATTTACTATGATCCATTATATCTCCAATTCTGGAACTTTTCTGGTAGTCTACAGACTTAAGCTGGCTTGTTTATTACAGGCATCTGCTACTTAGCTCTGTGAAATACCCATCCAGTTTTCATCTTTCAAAGTTGCTGACATTGCCTACCCATCTGCTATCTCCTTGTTTTCTTTACCCTTATGGGTTTTAAGCTTTTGTATTTCCATATTCTCATTTTTTTGTGGGATTCAGAGGGAGCAGGAAGAAAAATGTCCCACTTGCCAGGTTTAATTATAAGCCCTTTCTGTACAGTTAAGAAATAAAACGTAAATAATGCCCGACAAAGCAACTTACGATCAGAAAAATAAATAAACCACAAAGATGGCCTGATAACAAATCTTATTCTGAATAAAGTTTGGTAAGGACAGGACAAGACAATGTTCAAGACCTCATAAGTGTACAGGAAGTAAAATTAAGCCATGTAGTGATGAATTTCAGATATTGCATTGATAAATTAAGTTGATAAAAACATCAAGTCTTTGTAAATTATCTTACTTGTGTGGAGTCTGTCAGACCTTTGGAATGACTTCTTCCCCAACCCTAACAAAGGATTTTCCACTTTAGCTGATGAAGAAAAGCTAGAGTTTGAGTTCTGGGAGCTGCTTGACTGTCCATCAGATTGCTTTCCTTCCCAAACTGCTAGGGAAAAATATATAAAAATTGGTGACATTAAGGTTATAGGTAGAAATCAATTAACCAAACAATTAAACCAATCAACACTAACTAAAAGTATGTATGAGGCAAAATAACCTTGCAAATATGTTTTGAGTGTGAGAATTAAACCTCGAAAAAAAGTAAAATCCTGCCCCGCTGGTGTGGTTTAGCAGTTAAGTGACAACCCAGGAACCAAGAGGTTGCTGGTTCTGTTGTTGGTTTGATTCCCGGTCAGGGCACATGCCAGGGTTTTGGGCTTGATCCCCAAAGGGGGGCAAGCAGGATGCAGCCAATCAATGATACTCTTCTCTTATCGATGTTTCTATCTCTCTATCCCTCTCCCTCTCTTTAAAAATCAATAAAAAAACATTTTTTAAAAAGGTAAAATCCCTTATTTCCTCTCAGCACATTATTGCCTTTTGGTGGTAAATTTCCTTCCTAACATAAATGCAAAGTTCTGCAAAAGACAGTTTAAATCTGGCAGGCACATATAATTAACTGGCATCAAAATGAATTACATAATAAAATACAAAGTCTATATCCAAACCAGTTTAGATTAAAAACAAAGTAAGCATCAACAACAAATCTAAAGAACTGTAGATCTGTCCAATGGAAATTCAAAGGCTGCATATATGTTTAGTAAGACCTTTTCTTTTTACTTTTTTATTAAATATATCTTTATTGATTTCAAAGATGAAGGTAGAGAGAGAGAGAAACATCAATGATGAGAGAGAATCATTGCTCGGTTGCCTCCTTCAAGTTCCACACTGGGGATCGAGCCTGAAACCCAGGCATGTGCCCTGACCAGAAATTGAACCCGTGACCTTCTGGTTCATAGGTTGATGCTAAACCACTGAGCCACAACAGCTAGGCAAAACCTTTTCTTTTTAAAGGAGGTAATTTGTGAAGAGTTCAGTTTGAGCATCTTTTGGAAACATCAGCTTTCTAAGGTTATTGATCAGCTGCTTCCAAATATTACTAAGACATCTTGGAAGTTACATTACTCATGGATTTCATTCTAACATACAAACCCCACTTATATATTTCTTAATAACTGCATGAATATTTGCATAAATTTTATGTTTACCTTGGAAAGATTTACTATAAGTCAATGATTTGGCAGTGTAAGAATTATGTAAATAAATATAATAATGTAAAAATAAATGCTATAGTATAAAGATTAGAAAAACCATCATGAAACTACCAGAAAAAGAAACTTCCATAGATTAAAGATTAAGCAAAAAGAAAAAAACACAAAATAAAACAAGACAACCAAAACCCCCCTCAGAGGCAGACAATAATACAGTGATTATTAGAGACCAGGAGGCAAGAGAGGGTAATGTGGAGGATAAATGGTATGGAAGGAGACTTCACTTGTGATAGTGAACACACAATACAATATACAGGTGATGTATTATAGAATTGTTCCTATGAAACCCATGTAATTTTATTTACCAATGTCAATCCAATAGATCCAATTAAGAAATAAAATAAAATAATAAAAGTAAAGAAGCTTCCATTGAAAAGACACTCCCATCTACCTACCAGATTTGGCAGTCACAGAGTCACTGGCAGCTTTGACAGCCTTCAGAGAGAGATGCTGACTGGAGGAGAGGGCCATACTTGGCCGGCATTGCTGCTGCTGCTTCCGCTGCTGCTGCTGCTTTAGAGCCTAGAAAGAGAAAACTGACTATGAGAAACAAGACAATCAGTTTTAGTAATATGAAAAAGTAAATGACTTATTAAGCAGTAAAGAGCATGCAATTTTTTGCTATTATAAACTTTAATGCAAATATTATTCTGTGTTTTTATATATATACTAGAGGCCTGGTGCACAAATTTGTGCACAAGTGGGATCCGGCTGGCCTGCTTCATGGGGGTCCATAGGGCTGGGCCATTAGGGGGAAGGGGGGCAGTGGGCAGTTGGCTGGCTGGCCCCACCCGTGATCAGGGTGTTGGGGGCCAATCAGGGGTGAAGCTGGCCAGGGGGAGGGACCGACTGGGGCCCAGATGAGGCTGGTTGGCTGCTGCAGTGCGCATCATAGCCACCAGTCATTCTGGTCGGTCTGCTGTTATGGTCGCTGGGCATATATATATGTGTGTGTGTATGTATGTGTGTGTGTGTATATATATATATGTATTTTTCTTAATATTAGTTCTAAATGTTCAACTGTTTAGTTATGGGGTGTATATTTTAAAATTTTAATAAATAAACCCTGGCTGGTATGGCTCAGTTGGCTGAGGGATTACCAGTTCAAAACCAGATCAGGGCACATTCCCAGGTTGCGGGCTTGATACCTGGTAGGTGATATTCAAGACACAGCTGATCAATGTTTCTCTGTCTCATTCATGTTTCTCTCTCTTTCTCTCCTTCTCCCTTACTCTTAATTTAAAAATCAATAAAAACATATTTAAAGAATAAAAGAAATAATTAAGTTTTAATAAATGTTACAAAATCTGTCTGCTAAGTAACTATAATTTATATTCTACCGACAAACTACAGTAGCCATTTTCCCACACACTTGCCATTGCTTAATATAATTAAGATTTTTATAACAATCTGAGAATTAAAGTAGTCCACTATTTTCATGATTTCTTAACTACTAGTGAGTTTCTATTTACTGACCATTTGCGTTTTAAAAAATCAAAAGTGAATTCTTAGAAAAGCCCAATAAAATAGACAAACTATTGGCTAGTAGCATTGAGGCAGGCAAGGAGGAGGGGTGTGTGATTCTATATAATAAAACCCTAATATGCAAATCAACCAAATGACAGAATGACCAGTCACTATGACATGCACTGACCACTAGGGGCAGACACTCAAGGCAGGGGATGCCGTTGGTGGTCAGCGTGTTCCCACAGGGGGATTGCTGCTCAGCCAGAATGCAGGCTCAGGGCTGGTGAGCACAGCAGCGATAGCGGGAGCCTCTCCTGCCTCCGCTGCAGCACTAAGAACCCCTTGGCGAACATTCCCTGAGGGGATCCCAGACTGCGAGACAACACAGGCCGGGTTGAGGGGACTCCCCCTATCCCCCATGAATGAATGTCATCCAATGGCCTCTAGTACATTATAAATGAACAACAATGAAGAACAAAAAAAGAGACATATAAAAATACTATGTATAACATTATACCAATATTTGAAAAAAATCAGGTGAAATGGATCACTTTCTAAGAAAAGTAAATTTCCAAATTTGGCTCCACAAGCAGAAAACCAAGAGACTAGTAAAAGCAGATAAAGTAAAATTGAAATGCTAGGAAGACAATTTTAAAGAGTGAGATTTACAGAATTTTCAAGAAAAAGATAAATTATTCAAAATCTCCTTAGAAACATAGAAAAATACAGGATGTTCCAAAAAATGTATACACACTTTGAATAATTATTAATTCCAAGAAGTTAAATCTGAAAAGAAAGAAACATCAATGGAGCTATCAGCTGTTGAAGAGTGTATACACTTATGGGTGTGGGGGGGAGGGGGACACCCTGTAGAGAGAGCTACACAATTTAGTTTAGGATGTTAGAACAATCTTGATTCCAAAATTGTTTCTGGATAGCACAAAAGAAGAAAAAAAAAAAACAGGAAAAAAAAAATCTCTCAACAAAATCCAAGCTAAAATCTTTTCTTTCCCCAAGCTAAAATCTTAAAAAAGAAAATGCCATAACATACTGAAAAATATATAACAATCATACAGTTTATTTTAGAGAGCTAAGTATAGATGAGCATAAAAACCTAGCCCGGCTGGTGTTGCTCAGTTGTTGATCATCTACCTATGAACCAGGCGGTCACAGTTGGATTCCCAGTAAGGGCACATGACAGGGTTGCGGGCTTGATCCCCAGTAGGGGTCATGCAGGAGACAGCTAATCAGTGATTCTCATCATTGATGTTTCTATCTCTCCCTCCATCACCCTTCCTCTCTGAAATCAATAAAAAATAAATCTAGTCATGGAATTTTATATATTACTAGATTTAAAGAAGAAAGCCACCTGATTATCTCAATAAATGTTGAAGAAAACAAACCTGAAAAATTCAACAACTATTCATAATTTTTAAAATGAGCACATACACAAACAAAAACTTCTTAGCAAATTAGGAACACATAAAATGTGATCAAAAGAGTATATGCCACAAACCGATGACACAGAGATACATACATTATTAAGTCCTAATTGGGAAACTGCATGAAATTTCTCCTTAAAAGAACATAATGTCCTTCCAAGAAATATTTAATGGCTGCCAGTCATGCATTTTTAATGTAAGAGATTATACTTCTGTTAAACAGAGACTACCATAATTACCTGCTTTAGTGCCTTCTTGCTGTGCTTCTGTGATGGAGATATGACTTTACCTGCTGGAATTGTGGGTGATGGGCAACCTGACTGGGGAGAGGATGGCTGTGACAGTCTAGATGATACTAAGGGGGAAAATGACAATGAAAAATTTGTTATCAGAGTTGATATCAAGCACCATGCCTTCCCCAATCATATTCTGCTACCTGTATTAAGAACTGTGACCAAACACTTTTGGGAAGGATCTTCTTTTTGGAGTTCTACGGCAAACAGCCTCCCTTTTCAGTTAATTTCCTCAGAAAGCTCTAGTGAAGGATGATAGGATGGGGAAGGGGTGGATGTTAGTATTCATACCTTTTCATTCTTTAATTTTTCAAAAGAATTGATTGAAGAAACAGGAAGCAGAATGTAAACCATTAGTCACCAAATTAGATAAACTTAGAAAAGATTCTAAAGCCTGTTGGACAGTATGTATAATATGTTCTTGAGGTAAATCTAACAACATGGTACAGTGGAAGAAACCTGGGTTGATAGAATAGCTCCCAGTTTTCCCTATCTTTAAAATAAAGGCAATAAGGCATTCCACCACAAAAACTCTAGTACAGTTTTAATACTGCTATTTCCACATCTCTTAAACCAATAGTTTTAGGGATACTACGGTGAGAGGACACTTGAGGATTCCTCTAATGGAAGCAATGTAGGTTGACAAATGTAAACAACTCTCTCCTTCATTACTAGCTGTTTTATACTCCAGAGCTTAGCCCAACCTTAGTCTTATGTGAATGAGGGTCTTCCCCTCCAAGAGCCTATACCTCTTATAATAAAGCATAATTGATTTTTGTTTTATAAAGTTTAACAGTGCATTATCTATGATGAGATAAATTGTTGATTCAGACCCCTTAACAATAAAAATAAAATAATCACTACTACTAGTGATGGCTTTACAGAGTGCATGGGTAGGGTCCCTAGGCCTGGCTGGCGATCAGGACTGATCTGTGTTCACTAATGCCTTCTCCTTTAATAGTAGTTGGACTAAAAAGGCTTAGTAGCAAAATGGAATACCATAATGTGGGCTAAAGAGCTTTAAGATACCGAATCAGGTATGTTGGTAGGTAGCTACTTAACATGACAATGCAGAAGCATGGTTCACTGGAATACAAAGGTTTTGAAATAGAGCATTTCAATTGTCTCTTAGATATCCTAAGAAAAGAATACACAGTAAATAACATTTTAAAGAGGACAAAGCAGAGAATATTAAAATGACTTACCTATGTAGCTTTAGCTTTATATTTCAACCCTTATGATAAAGTTCAGTGGTCACCAACCTTTCAGACCTCATGGACCACTGAACTGAATTCATAATTTTAAAACCAGTGAACCACTAATACTTTTAAAAAGATAAATACATTTGTAAAATAATAATTGGAGCACTTCCATCTTATTAATATGAAATGCACCTATTTAATATATTATAAGTACTTGTTTAATCATAACAAGATCTTCAAAGGTTGTTTAATTATAACAAATTTATTAAAGTTTTATTTTTACAAAATAATTGAAGCTTATATAAATACTAGAGGCCTGATGCATAAAATTCGTGCAAGGATAGGGTCCGTAGGTCTGGCTGGCGATCAGGACTGATCTGTGGGGTGACCAGCAGGGCTAGGGGGGGGCCTCTGCTGCACCTGCCTTGACTGGCTTGGGGCCTGTGGGCTGGGGGAAGCTCCTGCATTGAGCATCTGCCCCTGGTGGTCAGTGCACATCATAGAGACTGGTTGTTCCACCGTTCGGTCAATTTGCATATTAGTCTTTTATGATATAGGACTAAAGCCCCGTGCATGAAATTCGTGCAGGGGGTCCCTCAACCCAACCTGCACCCTCTCTGATCTGGGAACCTCGAGGGTTGTTTGATTGCCCGTTTATTTATTTAAAATATATTTTATTGATTTATTACAGAGAGGAAGGGAGGATAGAGAGTTAGAAACATCGATAAGAGAGAAACATCTATCGGTTGCCTCCTGCACACCCCCTACTGGGGATGTGCTTGCAACCAAGGTACATGCTCTTGACTGGAATCAAACCTGGGACAGTTCAGTCCACAGGCCAACACTCTATAATCCACTGAGCCAAACTGGTCAGGGATCGAGTCATGGGGGTGTGGCCAGCCTGGGTGAGGAGCTGATGACTATTTGCAGACTGGCCATAGTCCCTTCAAGATGGGGGTTCCTGCTGGGATGCCTGACAAGCCTAGGTGAGGGGCTGATGGCTGTTTACAGGCTGGCCACACCCCTGGTGACCCAAGCTCCTAGCCTCTCCCTTTTTTCTTTTCCTTTCTTTTTCAGCACCTCCTTGAGCAGAGGCCAGGGCTGTCAGGTATTTGGATTTATCTTCTATAATTGAAACTTTGTAGCCTTGAACAGAGGCCATGGCAAGCGGGAAGCTTGGCTTCTTCCACCCCTAGGGGCAACCCAAGCCTCCTGCTCACTCCAGCTCTATGGCTTCCACCATCTTTGTTGGGTTAATTTGCATACACACTTCTAATTGGCTGGTGAGTATAGCAGAGTGATGGTCAATTTGTATGTTTCTCTTTTATTAGTGTAGATTGCACATTTTTAGAGTGTGGTATTTACTCCTGTTGGCTTAAAATAAGTTTATGGATTCTTGGCTCTAATGCCATTACTGCAAGAGAGCTGTATTTATTTCAAGCTGAGATTGGTACTGAATTTTAATTGCTGTGACAGATGAAAAATTTTTTTCACATAAATATGTTGTTGAAAATTGAATAAAAATTTTCAGCTTTTTCACTCCCCAATAAGTATTCACTTTTAATGGAGATAAAAAAATGAGGTCTTGGTAAGGATGACTGGAATTTAGCTTTGAGACTGTTGTCGGGTGATAGATAGATGAGGCTTTCTTGTTCAATCATGCTTAAATTGCTATCTTCAATGTTTGCTACAAATGGATCTATTATCCACATATTGCCATGCCTAGAATCTTCTTTCTTTGGGTAATAACGACCTAAAGATTCTGTGAGTGATTGTAAGTGCTGTTAAACAGATTATCACCTGCCAGATGACATCCTTCTCTCATATATTCATCAAAATTTGAAAATATTTACAGATCTTCTTAAGCCAACCGTGTTTGCCACAGTAATATTTTCTTTTGAAAAGCATCCACTTTACCTCGTAGTATGAACATGTCCTTAAGTTGTTCTTGAAAGGATATGTTTAGTTCATTTAATAGCGAAAACATATCTGCCAGGTATGCAAAATTGGCTACCCACTCATCATCAGAGAACAGTTCTTGTAATTTCGGATTATTCTGCCACTGGAAAAATATTTTGACTTCTTCACACAAGGCAAACAGTATTGGACATATGTTTTGAATTCTCCTGGGTTCATATATAAACTATAACTTTATGTTTAACTTTCTTAGAAACTGCCAAATTGTTTGCCAAAATGGACACATAATTTTAACAGTTCTACCAGAAATATAGAATTTCTTCTAATTTCTCCTTGCCAACACTTGTTACTGTCTTTTTGATTTGACCAATTTTTTTTTTAAAGGGAAATAATAAAGATAAAGTTTAAAAGTATTAATATTTAACTAGGTTTGTTTTATTTTTAATGATTTGCATATATCTGAGAATATATATTTCCTCACCTGCCTCAAAGCCCCCCCCCTTTTTAAAATATATTTTATTGATTTTTAACAGAGAGGAAGAGAGATAGAGAGCTAGAAACGTTGATGAGAGAGAAACAGCTGCCTCTTGCACACCCCCTACCGGGGATGTGCCCGCAACCAATGTACATGCCCTTGACCGGAATTGAACCTGGGACCTTTCAGTCTGCAGACCGACGCTCTACCACTGAGCCAAACCAGCTTCGGCTCCAAAGCCCTTTTTAACAAACAAAACCACAAACATATCTCACAGCCAACTGAACTAAAGCATAAAGATTCTGGGACCCACCAGTGAAGCAAACTCAAATATACATCTATGTGAGAGAAACACATTGATTGGTTGCCTCACACATGAACCTTTACTGGGGCTGAACATGCAACCCAATTACAGGTTCCTTGACCAGGAATCAATTCCATGACCCTGCATTGCACTGAATGATGCCCTAAGCATTGAGCACACCAGCCAGGCCTAGAGTAGCACTTTTAATTTCTTTCACAAACTTTTCCTTTGCATTCAAAATCTGCCTAAATGTTTGATGTTCTTGCCTATCTCGGATTTGGACCTACCTTCCTTACTAAGTTTAATATTTCCAGTTTTTTACTTAAAGTGAGAAATGTGAGACTCTTGACTTGAACACTTGAAGGCCACTATACAGTTAAGTGGCCTAATTATATTATTATTGTGTCTCAGGGAATAGGGAGGACAAAGGAGAGAAACAGAAATGAGGAATGGCCAACTGGTGGAGCCATTCACTTATTGGTGAAGTTCACTATCTTACATGGACACAGTAGGTGGTGCCCCAAAACAATTATAATAATAACCATAACAAATATAATAATAATGAAAAAATCTGAAATATTGTGAGAATTACCAAAATGTGAACAGGAAGCAAATGCTGTTGGAAAAATGGCATTAACAGACATGCTCAACACAGGGTTGTCACAAATGTTCACTTTGTAAAAAAACGTAGCATCTGTGAAGCGCAATAAAATGAGGTATGAGAAAATAAAATGGAAGAGAATTCTTTCTACCTATATACCAATGGTTAGAAATAAATTGAACTAATATAAACTCTATTGAGTAGAAAAATAAATCAAAGCTAGTATATTAACTCATATACTAACTGGACAAGTGGATAAAACCAACAGGAAAAGGTCCATAAACAAAAATATTGTTTTAAAAAATAAATTTTTATTGATTTCAGAGGAAAGAGCAAGGGAGAGAGATAGAAACATTAATGATGAGAGAGAATCACTGATAGGCTACTTCCTGCATTCTTCAAACTGGTAATCAAGCCTGCAACCCAGGCATGTATCCTGACAGGAATTGAACCATGACCTCCTGGTGCATAGGTTGATGCTCAACCTCTGAGCCATGCTGGGCAGGCATTATAAACAAAAATCTTGTTCTTCTTGGTATATGGCTATGAAAATTTGAATCAGC